TTTCTTTCTTGCTTGAAAAGAAGGCAGGTTTTTAACGTTTATTTCTCTTCTCTTTCTAGGCTAAAGCTGCAGAAGGCTGGGAAGTCCTGGGAACAGTTAGCAAGCCTGAGGATGCAGAGAATATCCCTGTCATCAGCTGCTCGGAATTTCAGTGGAATAAACCCGTTATTATAGTAATAGGTATTGCATTTCACTGAGCTTTGGGCTTGGTGGAAGTGCACGTGTGAGGAAGCAACAGGGGTGATGTTTCACTCCGAAGCTAGTTGTGGGTTTGTTGCATCACATCACACTTAGTTCTGGAAACAAAGAGCTGAGGCAGAAGTAATGGAATGATCTGGCTTCAAATGAAATAGGGAGCCAGAAGAACAAGATGCAGGAACAAACCAGTCTGTGTAGCTGAAGAGGGAATTTAGCAGCTGCATGGGGTCTAGGTGGCAGTTTTCAGTGGCAGGACAGGTCTGGGGTGGTGTAGCCACAGGCTGTTGTTCTGCATTGTGTTCTGTGGTGCTTTTGGTCCTTTCCTATAGTCCTGAACCTGGACTTTCTGTGTTGGCAAACCACAGACCTGAGTGAGAGACCCAGGAAGTGCATGTTTGCCTTTGCTGTGCTGAGGCTGGAAGGATGAGCTGAGCCATGTCTTTGCTCTGTCATGTTTACTCTTTAAAAATACAGGAATGTGTGTCCGTGCCCAGAAGGAAGCCATGAGGAGCTGTTGCTGCTGAACACAGACTTTGTGGCCTAGAGACCAGTCAGTGGTGGCTTTGTAAACCAGGAGAGGGCCGCAGGAGCTGTTGGCTGCTGTGGTACCATCAGGAGGAGGTGTAACCTCCCTGCTAGACCCGTGTGCTGTTTTGTAGGCAGGGTTTGGGTTTGTGCAGCAGCGAAGGGGAATAGCAGCCTCATGGCAGCTAGAGAAAGAAATTCACCCCAGAGTGCTGCTGTAGACACCGTTGTGTGGCCATGGTGTAGCTCCCCTGCTTTGTGTCACCTGCCACAAGAGCTGCTTTGAGCTTTTACACTTGGAAGTAGTGTCACACTGGCGATGAGCCATCGAGGGGCTGTAATCCTGCCCTGTGCTGTGGTTTTCTTGGCTCAGAAGAGATTCCTTTAATTAAAATGTTTATTGAACTCCTAGAAATACTGACAAGACAACGCCGCAAATCTGGCATCTCTGCAAGATGTGTGGAGCTGTATTACAAAGGGAGCAGGGAGGCTGGCAGCGCTGCTGATGGACCACAAAGAAATGCATCCCAGAAATGACGACAACACCAGGAGAGAGGAAGGGGGCGAGAGTGGCAGTGGTGTCGTTACCTTGAGTTATGAGAGATTTCTCCAGGAAAAAGTCCAACTATCCTTTTGTCAGGGGAGATTGGAGGCTGATTGGTAGATGCATGAGGAGAGCTCCCGGCCCTTGCAGCAGTAATGATTTCAACTCTCTGCTGAGCACTAACTCTTGGCTGAAAAGAAAATTGAACATTACAGTCATCTGATGCTGAGGTTGTTGGAAGAAACCTCCTACATCTGAATATGTAGCGTAGCTGCAGCAGAGATAATTCAGCTTGCTCGTGAGCTCCCGAGCACTGCACAGATTGTCTTGTAAGTTAAGCATTTGCAGACTTGAATTCACCCTCCTGGCACCTTGCTGGCTTGGCAGAGAGTGATTTGGACAGTCCAGCTTCATGTTGTCTGCCCTGGAGTCATTGCTGAAGGTGACAGGCAGGCTGGCTGCCCGAAAGACTGGGAGCTGTGTGTGAACAGGAACAGATTGGGAGCACTTAAAACGTCTGTGTAAGAAGAGCTTCTGGGTAATTTGTTCCTACACTTTTGCTCAGGGTTTGAGGCTGTTTGTGGAATTGGTGGGTTTATCTTCTCGCTTCTGCCTGGATTTGAACTTCCTGCCCTGGGAGCTGCAGTTGTTACACTAGTGTTCATTGTAAATGGGGCAGGAAACCTGGTTTACCATTTCATCCAAGCTCGAGCTCTGCTCTTTGAGGGCTGTCAGTGAAGGATAAAGCTAAGAGATGGGAGTCAGAGGTCTGAAGTGGGAAGTGTTTTTGTTCACCAGTATAAACTAGGATTTAATCTGATTCAGTCAATACTCCCTCCTTTGTGTCACACTGGGCAAGTCTTTTTGCCCTGAATTTATGGTTCCTCATTATTTTAAGCAGCTAGAGCCATAAAAAGCAAAAGGTAAAAGCTGGAAGCAAAATTACTGTCTTTATTAGGAATTGTAAGACTCTTACCAGGGAGAGGAGAGGATTGCTCCAGGAGCCATCCTGCCTCTGGCTATAGCTGCTGTCCCAGTTGGAGAGTCCCATGAGAGTGTGGTTTGAGAGGCTTAGGAGGTAAATATGACAGTAAGTTGTAAAACTTTTCTGTGTTGAATCAGGAAAAAGTAGGATAATGTGTGTTCTTTTCTGGAAGCATCCCTGGAGAACCACAATCTTAGCAATGACAAGGCAGGCCAGGCTGTGGGAGGCCTGGCTTCCATTCCTGTGTCACTCAGGCTTCTCCTGTGACCTTGGATAACTCCCCCAGGCATTGCCTGCATTGCTGGCTTACAGCAGGAGGAAAATAGTGAGTTTTTGGTTTTCTAGAGGTTCACTACCTCAGCCAGAGGATGCTCTTGCCTGCATGGCTTATTTCATGCAGGAAGGTGATGCAAGGTGCGTTACCCAAAGCAGTCTTTTCCTTACCCAAAGTGCACCTTACCAGTTAAATCAGGCCAGCATAATGAAATTCTGAATCTGGGATACTAAGATTCCAGTCTGTGAAATGGGAATAACATCTTCCTGCCATGTGTGGTCAGAGGGGTGTTGTGCAGATCAATACACAGGGATCTGCTGGGGAAGTGCTGTAAATAGGCACCAGAGGAAGAGTTTTGTGGCAACTTAGCCCAGCAGGGATTTTGTTTGCCTTATGGAGGAGTGAGTGGCATAGGAAGTGCTGCTAAAACTTCAGGTAAGGGTCTGTTTTAGGTGAGACAGCACTGGCCACAACCAGAGGTGGAGAAGCCCCTGGCTGGCAGCGTGTGCCCTGGCACTGCTGTTCCAGCACAAGTCTGGGCTTCAGCTGGAGCCGGGGGTTGGCTGTTGAAGGGGGGTGTTTGGCTTCCAACCTGCTGAGCCTCTTTGGTCAGAGGGTGAACACAGAGCCTTTGGAATGAGCTGGCTGTTCCTGCAGCCATGTAGCTGTCTGTGTAGCTCTAAATAATGAATGTGGAAGAATTCTTTGGGGAGCCGAGCAGGCTGGGAGGTCTGTGGTCTTCTGCATTCTCACTTGTCCGTGTGCAGGATTGTTTAAAGCCTCTCCCTTTCCATTTCCCTTTGTGACAGTGTGAGTCAAACAACTATTAATGACCTGGGATAGATTTCAACTCTGTTTCACCAGTGTATCAGCCCAAACATATCAGGGCTGTTGGATGGTTTAACAACTAATCAATTGAAGCCTCTGGTTAAACTGTCTGCATTCACAAGTTGCACCCAGATGGTGGTACTGTGTGCTGAAAAGGCTGAACCCTTCACTATCAATAGGGATGTGGCATTTGCTGGACCAGATCAGACCCGTGGCCTCTTGGCTGCCTCATCCTTTTGGCAGCAGCCTGTGGATGTGGGCACAGTGGCTGCTTGCATTCAGGCTACAAGGGTCTGTGCTCTATGCTCTGCATGCAGGGGCGGTGCACTGGTATTGTTCAAAACCACATAATGGACAACAGATCTGGGGAGCTGGAGTGGGCCAGGAAGGTGCCCCTCTCACCTCTGGTGGTTCTTAGCTGTTGCTGCATGGGAGTTGGTGAGGTTGCTGGTGAGCTTTGGGCCAAGGATGTACTTGTGACAGAGCATTAGTAAGGACTGTACTGAGGAGGGGGAAAAGGATGTAGCAGCAGCTGTGAGCTGACCTGAGTGTCTTTCTCCTGCAGGTAGTGAAGGGGACGGGCTGTCCCTGGAGACACAGCTCCTGTGCCATCGGATGCTGGCCATACCCCCTGGCAGAGCCCTTCACCCTGGGATCGAATCACTGAACGTCTCTGTTGCTACTGGTGAGAACACTTCCAAGCACAAAGGCATTACAGTCCTATTTTTTGTAGTTAAAAGTCAAACCTCCAGCCCTGCAGAATGATTCTCTTGTGGTTTAAAACATATTTTTATTTATTTACTTTGCTACAGGTATTCTCCTGCACTCCATCTGCAGCCAAAAGCTGAGGCACGGTGACTGAAATGTTCGATTCCGTGGTGGAAGGTTCACAATGCTCTATTGGTGTGAATATGGAAGTGCCCTTTCCAGGGCTTCATCATTGCTGCAGCTTTCACAAGGGAGAGACACTGACTTGGGCTCTGTTTGGCTGACACGGTACCACCAGAACCCTGGCTTAATGCTGCTTGTACTAGGTACCACCTCCCACCAGCACCTCGGAGGAGCAGCTGCAAGGAAGGGTGGCAAAGGTAGTTTTTTAAAGCAGACAGCCATATCCTTCAGTTCTTGCAGTAAAATTCCTGGTGATGGCTGAGACTTGTACCTGTTGCGTGGAGGACTTTGTACATTGGTTGTGCTGTGGAGAGAACTTGGGTTCTAGGTGAGAAACTGCTGCCTCTAAGAGTGCCCTGAGGCCACCACCCCTTAGCAGCCCAGAGGATGCTAGTGAGAGCCAGGTATGATTTGGGACTACTAAGTAGCAGTTTCCTCATGATGAGGTGGTTTCTCTGTTACCTGTTGGTGCTTGGATGTCTGAAAACACCCCGTGCTGTATTGGGTTGTAAACGGGTCTGCAGCCCTGCCAAAGGATGGACATGAGCTGTTAGAAAACAGCTGTAGTGGGAAAAACCACTGCCCATTGCAATAAAGCCTCCAAAAAGATTGGTTGTAGACTTGGATCAGTCCTTTTTGTGTTATACATAAATCCAGAGTGTGATTAGTGAAACAGAGCACTTCCTTCAGGTGGGAAGAGGAATCAGGAATTCCTCTTATTCCAGGGAACTTTCCTGTCCATGGTATACCTGATCCTCCAGCACCAGGATGCTGATGGCATGGGCAGTGGGGTGAGGGTGCCTTCGTTTTCAGATATCCTGGTTGAAGCCAGGCTGAATTACTGAGAACCAAATGAATGTTATCACTTAGCACCTTAATTATTTTATTTAGCTGCTGTGGCCCTTTGCATAGGATTCCTCATTAACACTTAATTTACAGTGCCCTTTAGGGATAATTTCAAACAATTCAGCTTAGTCTCCCCCTTCCCCCCTTCCAAATGAACAAGTAAATCACTCACAGTGACTAATTAGGACTTTCCTTTCAGCTAAATGAAGTCTGTAAACCTGACTGTGGATGCAGAGGTTTTTCACGTCTCCCTCAGAATGCCTGGCCTTGGGGATGCCTCAGGTGCCTGGGATAGGGATGAGACAGGACATGGAGCTCCTGAAAGGTGCTGAATCTTCACTTGTGTGGCTCTGATGGAGAGGGCACCTGGCGTGGAGGCACATATCCTGAGATGAGTCTGCCCCTTTGCCCTCTCCAAGGACAGCCCCCAAATCCCTCTGAAATGACAGCAGTTGTGGCAAACAGGGCTTTGTTGTCCAAATCTGACGGCAAGCTGGCCACTAAATAACAGTGGCATCACTGGGGTGACATCTCTTGCATTTTGTGGGCTGAATTGTGCCTTTTCTTCCCTTTTTCCCTATTTTAATGCTGAAATAAGTCACCCATGGGCCCGGGGGCTGCAGAGCAGCCTTGCTGCACAGCTCTCTCCTTGGGTACCCCAGCAGAGGGTGCCCGTGGCTCAGATTTGCTCATTCTCAGAGGAAAGATTCAGCACTTGAGGCTGACTGAATCCTTCCTTTGGAGCAGCAGGGATGAGGATAAAGCCATTTCTGTATTCTTGACCTATAGGTAAGTATATACATTTCCAATTTCATAGGAACTGCTGTTTCTCCTTTTACTTTCTTGCTTATTTGAGCAGTACTTTAACAGAAGAGGCACTTTACTGGCATTGTGTGTGATTGGGAAAGCCGAATGCTGTAGGACTATTCTCAGCCATTCCAAATGAGGAGGCAGGTGAGTAACTATGGAGCAGCTGTTTTACTTCTAGGAGGCTCCCAAAAGCCTTTGAAACCTCAATGCCCACACCAGTTCTCCCAACAGAGTGATGGGGTACATGGAAGTTCCCATTTGTCTATCGAACATTGCAACTCTCCTGCGGATTTCCTTGTGCAGCTGCTGTATCCATGGAGCACCTTGACTCGGCACTGGAGTATCAGGCAAGGATTACAGGCAGTTGCATAAGGCTTGGATTTTGAGAGACAGGGATTTAAGCGTGTAACTAGGTCTGCAGCTCAGACTTCTTTGCTTGAGAGCTGCAATACAGGCTCTTGTGAGTGCAGTAATCCCACTCTGGATGGCTCTGCTGTTCCCATGGAGCCTGTTTCCCTCAGTGGGAAGTTCTGCCCTCACTTTGTCTCACTGGGATCCCCCCTCTGGCCAGCTTTTGGGTGCATCTGCCATGGATGATGCTTTCTCCTGCTTCAGGCTGAAGCCTGTGAGGAGCACAGGGACCTCTGCACACTCACACCTTTGGAGATGGAGCTTTGTGCTGTGTGACTTGCCCTGATCTAATAAATGCGAGCCATTAATTGGATCATTGCCCACTTCTCCAGTTAATTTCCTGGGTATTTTTAAATGTTAAAATGTAGTTTTTATAGTCTTTCATTATTTTTAGCCTTAAGCTTCACTATAATCGTCCCTGTAATGTAACTGTAAAAACCTCCCAGCTTTGTATCATAAAAGGAAGACATTAATTGTCATTTCTTGTGTACATCAGCAAGATCAAAACATGCTTCCTGATTACTTCTGTGTGTACATACCGTCTCTTTGATATTTAGATATGAATAAAGTGTGCGTGTGTAATGTGAAAGTCAGCTCTTCCCTCCCTGCTGCTTGGCAGAGGCTTATTTACCAAATGGAGTTTAAAATGTAGTCAGTGCCCTTCCAAAATGATTTCTCAACAATCAGAGTGTTTCTGAGCACAGTGGCACCATATTTGTCCCCCTTAGGTCAGATGATGCGTCCAGGGCCTCAGCCTTTTAGCGCTCAGACAGGGGCAAGCACAAACCTTTTCATCTCCCAAAATCACCTCCAGGGAGAACTGGCTGCAAGAGAAACTCCTGCCCTGCATTTTGCTTTAGTTCAAGGGTTAACAACACATAAGGAGGAATCCCATTCCCTCCAATCTATCGCTGGGTTGCAGTGAGGATTCCTGAGGCTGGATTTGGCACAGGGAACACCTCTCCTTGCAAAGCTTAGAAGGGCTGAAGGGAATAACCTGGGGTGCTGCTGAGTGTAGGAGCCCACAGGGCCCCTTCCTCGCTGGTGGTGAGGAATCCTCTGCTGCGCCACAGCCCTACTCCCAGTTTGTAAATGTAATCAACCTCGAGGTCTTGTTTCTTCCACAGGTGCAATTAACATCACCATCTGCTAATCCCTGATTAACGATGTTTACAAATATGCTACAACATGTTAAAATGTGCTGGCACTATTATTTCCATTCCCTTTTTCTCCTCTCCTTGTTCCATTGCGGCTTTCCCGACGAAGGCTTCCATGCATCCCACCCTTAATGCACAGACAGTTTGGTTTCCCTCTTTAAAAGCACTGCTCAACTCCAAAGGAGCTGTAGGAATGAGTTCAAATCAGAAGGTCAGTGCTGCTAAATGGGATTTAATTGCACAGGGGTTGAGGTACCAACTGCTGCATCTGAAGAATAAAACTTTGTGGGGAGCGACATACGGTGCGGTTTAAAGTGTATTTTTATTGATCATCCCACAAGTGATGTGTTAATGGGAAGAGAGGCTTTGCTTTGGGTTTCGTATCGATGTGGAGTTGTAATAATGTCACACAGGAATATTGTGGACGGGCTTATAATATGAGAGTGTGTTTTCTATTAACTGCCTTCTTTTCAACAGAGAGAGGAATACATTATAGCCCTACTGTATGTCCTCCAGATCTAGGTTACATGTAATTGCTCAGTAATTGGTAGAACCATGTAAAAGCCATGGTATTTGCCAGTAAACCCTCCTAAGTTACCATGAAATTGAAGTGTGATATTTATTCTCTACAAAACTTGCTACCCAAATATCGTGTATGATCAGGTTTGGTGTCTCTGCAGTGGCTGTGCTGTGTATAACACCTACACAGCTCTGGGTTTGCACTGATCTCTTTCAACCTAAGGGACTGAGGGGTTCTGACCAGGAGGTTAAGGGGTTATTTTGATTCAAGGGAAGATGCTTTAACCTCCCTTAGGCTTCAGGCTCAGGATTATTGCACTTATTTCAAGGCCCAACTCAAAATGGTGGAGGTTTGGAGGTTGCTGAAGGAGTTTGTGTGGTTTCAATGGAATAGTAATTACATGTACGATGGTTTGTGAAGCCTTTGGAGGTAAAGGAATTGTCAGTTCTGGGGGTACATTTGCAGGTCACCTATATCTTAGCTTCAGTCTGGAGAACAGACCTTAGAGCAGCTCCAGTGCCTAAAGGGGCTGCAGGAAACCTGGAGAGGGGCTTTGGACAAGGGCCTGTAGGGACAGGCCAAGGGGAATGGCTTGAACCTGCCAGAGGGGAGACTGAGCTGAGCTCTTAGGCAGAAGCTCTTCCCTGTGAGGGTGCTGAGGCGCTGGCACAGGGTGCCCAGAGAAGCTGTGGCTGCCCCATCCCTGGCAGTGCTCAAGGCCAGGTTGGACACAGGGGCTTGGAGCAAGCTGCTCCAGTGGAAGGGGTCCATGCCCGTGGCAGGGGTTGGAGCTGGATGAGCTTTAAGGTCCCTTCCAACCCAAACCATTCCATGATTCTTGTAAAGTAGGATGTTCAGAACTGTTCCCAGCTTGGCAATTTCCATTATTTTCTTTGCTATTTTCTATTTTGCTATATTTTGCTCATGTGTGAGGACCCCACGCTCATGAGCTTTTCCCTCTGGTGGAGGCTTTTGCTCCCTCCTGCATCAGGGCTGGGTGTGTTCAGTGGTGACTCCTTATCACCCTCCATGTGGCTTTAAATACAGGCAGAAGTAATTGCCTTGCTTATGATCAATAGTTTTATATACTTTCAAATGTAACAACACGCTTTGAATTGATGCAGAGTTAAACCTGCCAATTTTGTTTCTCACTGGCCTGTTTTAGAAGCTGCAAACTCAGCAGTGCTTCCTGTGTTTGGCAAGCCAGAGCTCAGCTGTTTTGTCTGGAGAGCTGAACATCCTGCACATCCCATGGATTCAGCCCTGCCTCTGCTGGTTCCCTTTTCATGACCATGGAAGCTGCAGAGCTGCAGCTGGGTATAAGTGTCCTGTCTTTGTATGTTTTAAAGCTGCCTTTGAGTGGTTTGTACAGAAGACAAAACATCTGCCTGATCCGGTGGGTTCAGGCTCCTGGAGAGCTGTTGCCCAAGTGTCCCAGCACCTACCTTGAAGCTCACCCAGTTGCAACCCCCTGCCATGGGCAGGGACGCCTTCCACTAGAGCAGCTTGCTGCAAGCCCCATCCAACCTGGCCTTGAACACTGCCAGGGATGGGGCAGCCACAGCTTCTCTGGGCTGCCTGTTCCAATATGCCCTTTCCTCTATATTTTGGGCCTGGGTCTTTTGATCCTGGCTTGGGATTGGGAGTGGGAACAGGAGTGAGGGGCTCGTGGCATGAGAACAAGTAGGGGATGTGAAGCGATGCTGCAGGTGGTGCAGGATGGGGGTTGTCCCACCAGCATGCTTCAATCATCATACATTAAATATATATGCCATGGAATTACAGCAATGATTATTTCCCCTTTTCCATTTGGGATAGTGCCTGGCACATGAACTCCTTTCCATGAGATAGGGTGAATCAGGCAGTTTTGCAACCCCATCCCTGCCCACTGAGTATGGAGCAAGTTGGTGCCATTAAACCCACCCTGGGCACAGGGTATTCACAAGTAGGGAACAGTTTAGAGCAAGAGAGACGCAGGAGTGATGCTGAGGGCTTGTGTTACCCAGCAGAATAGTTGGGGGGGGTGTCTGGCAGTGCCTTCTCAGCTTTGCCAGCCCTCATTAGCACCTCTCAGCAGAGCAGAGCTTATTCAAACTGTATCACAGGGCTTTTGCTGGAGATTGCATCTGTGCCTAATATGCATTTTTATATAAACAAGGGTACTAAATGGCCTTTCAGTTCCCTCTGTAATGTCTTTTTTAATGGAAGGTCCTGAATTAAGAACATATATATACGACTCTAAGAATTTTCTAAGTGATATTGAAAACCTATTGTAAAGTAGGATTTCTCCTTGCAAAATTATTTTAATGAGGTTCCAGTTTATTTTCTGGCTATATTTTACTTACTTAATCCTCCAGAGGGGCTTTTCAGAGGCAGCATCTCATTTTCGATGCAACTGTTCTTAACATTAGGGAAAACTACCTTTCTGAAATGCATGAAGGGGGAGGAAGAAAAAAAGGAAGAACCAGGGGAAGATGTACGAGATAAGAATAAACTTGAAAAGCTTTGAGGTGGTTTATGGCTTCTCTTGAAAGAATAACAGTTCATGTATTTTTGTTATGGTGGGGTTTAATGATGTTTGCAGAAAAAAGATAAGGTAGAAATGGAAATATAAAATTAAACCAGCAAAGTGGATGTGATTATTTTAGTTACTAGTATTACCTGGGGAAAATGCTCCCGGGGTTGCTTATCTACACTAAATATTTGCTTTTCTAACAGGGAAGGCCCTCTGCATTGCCTGGAGTGAGGAGGGGAAGCGGCATCTTCCTCTGGTCCAGCACCTCTGAGAAGATGGAGATGTCTCTGCCAGAGCCCTGAGCGCTGGCTGCCCCCATGGTAGGTTCATTCCATTGCATGGGGCTGTTTCTGCCAGGGTTGTGCTGCATTCCACGATGGGGAGGTGAACCCTGAGGGGCTTCACAGCCTCACCGTTGTGTCTGTGGGGGGAGCAAGGGGAAGGTACAATGGGACTTGGTTCCCAGTGACTGTGCCTGTTCTGGAGATGATTTTTCCAGTAGGATCTGGGCACAGCTGATCCCCAGGGTGGTCTTGGGTTGGAAGGGACCTTAAAGCTCATCCAGCTGCAACCCCTGCCACGGGCAGGGACCCCTTCCCCTAGAGCAGCTTGCTCCAAGCCCCTGTGTCCAACCTGGCCTTGAGCACTGCCAGGGATGGGGCAGCCACAGCTTCTCTGGGCACCCTGTGCCAGCGCCTCAGCACCCTCACAGGGAAGAACTTCTGCCTTATATCCAACCTGAATCTCCCCTGTTCCCATCCCTCCCCTCTCATTTCACCCCATCCATTCCTGGCATGCTGACCCTTATGGCAATACATTAAAGGGCCGTAATTCCACCCTGATCCAAGAGCTTTTGCCTTTGGGCAGCTCCACATGTTTCCAGTCTGAGCTGAGCCGGTGTGGATCACACAGTTTGATGGGGACTTGACAGCATCAGCCACATCTCAACTCGTCTGCAACAGGCACAGCCCCTGAGCATCCTGCTCCTGCCATTGGGTCACGAGAGGTAAACCCGCTGATGAATTAAGCCTGACATGTGGCCTTGAGCCTCTCTGGGTAGTTAATTTTTCAATTTCTTTCATGGATCTGGACTAGTGAAGAGTTTGTTTATAATTAAAGTACTTGGAGATTTATACTTTAATTCAAAGAGCTGAAAAGAAGCAGTTTCTGTGTAGGTTTCTTCCCTATCAGAATCTAAACCAGATTATTATGTAAATTCTTTTCGATCCTAAATTCATTATAAAGTTCAATTTCAGGAAATGCTCTTGACCATCTGCTGCTGCTTCAAGAAATGAGTCTTGGAGATTGTTTAGTACCAGAAATATTGTAGGTATTTAGGGTAGATCACAGTGGAGCACGAGGGCAATGTACTGATTCCTCAGCCTGGTTATATAAAGCTATAGTGCTGATGCCACGAGCTGCGTAGGGAAGTGCATCCACAACAACAGCAGCTTCTGCTCTGTCACCATTCTGGTTCATCCTGGCTCGCTGTGTTGATGCCATCCCCTTCCCATCCACAGTGATGTCTCATAGGGAGGCAGCATGCATTAGTTCCTGCTCTGCAAGAAACCTGGAGAGGGGCTTGGGACAAGGGCCTGTAGGGACAGGCCAAGGGGAATGGCTTGAACCTGCCAGAGGGGAGACTGAGCTGAGCTCTTAGGCAGAAGCTCTTCCCTGTGAGGGTTCCCTGGCAGTGCTCAAGGCCAGGTTGGACACAGGGGCTTGGAGCAAGCTGCTCTAGGGAAAGGGGTCCCTGCCCATGGCAGGGGTTGGAGCTGGGTGAGCTCCAAGGTCCCTTCCAACCCAAACCATTCCATGATTCTATAATTAACGAATTGGTTTGAGATCCCTGGCATGAAAAACACCTTGGAAACACGATTTGCTGTGTATTGTAACCTCCAAACTTGCTGTGTCCTGATCCCCAGCGAACTTTTGATTAGAGCAAGAGGTGATGAAGCCCTTGTCACCCGCACATGCACAGGGCTGGGGTCCAGCAGCACCACTGAGCTGTGTTGAACTTCAGTCTTCTCTCCAGTGTATTTTACTACCAAATCTTGTTCGTTATAAGTGGTGTCAGGTGCATCAGATGAAGCCCAAGAGCGGGGATACAGATGTGCTCACATCCTGAACACTGCTCCTCCCCAGCTCCCAGCACTTGCTTTTGTGTTACTCATCCTCTCCAAGGCACTAAAAGATGTTTTTACCCCTCTGCTCCATCACATTTGTATGGGGGAGGAATGTATTCAATGTGGTTTCTTCTCTTCCACTGCAGCCTCACTCAACAAGTGCAGCACCCACGGGGCCAGCGGCTGCTGCTGCTATTGATCAGGAGCGGGGCTGCCCTTCCCAGTGACTGTGCCCAGTATTGATGGATCGAACAGGGATGAGGCTGGGAAGCAACGGCTGCTGGCGGGAGCAGGAGGTGCCGTGGTGGGGGTGTCCCCAGGGCTCATGCTGAGCATCACCCCAGCATCATCCCAGCACAAGGGGATGCAGCCGCCCCAGGGTCAGGCTGGGGATGATGCTGCAGAGGGAATGGTCTTTAATATGGAATCATGTACAGTGTTTGGAAAGATGAGCTGTAGTGGAATAGACTTGAGTGAATCATGGAATAGACTTGAGAAGGGCACCTGTGTCCATCTGGATGCATTGTGTCTGCATGCAGGGTACCTATGAGTAGTAGCAGTATATTATATATGTGCCTATTATATATATGGCAGTGTGTGTTCTAGGTCTAGCAGTTTCTATAGGAGTGTGTGCAAAGGGCTCACCACTACTCCCAGTGTAGTAACTCCAGAGCATTGCCTGAGGTTGGTGTTTTAGCAAACCCAGTTTCCCCACTGGCCTATCTGTACTAGCACAGTGTGTAGGAAGCCGGGTGATATTAGTGTGGGTCTAGAGGATGGGAATGGTTCAGCAGCCCTTGGATAAATATCGGAGCGTGGAGTATGACGGAGAGGTTTTGTTGTTCCTGTTGTTCTTCATTCATGTACACACTGTGAAACCAGCGTTTTCTTATCTGGAGCTGTCCCAGGCTTCAGCATCCGGAGGCTGGTGATCACTAATCGCCTTATTTCCCCTCCTTCAGGGAAATTCCAGCTCCTGTCCTCTGCTGCTGAGTAGATCTTTAAGCCGGTAATAACGTGAGACAGAGGGAAATTAACGGCCTCGTCCTGCTCTTCCCTGCCTGAAAACGGCGGAATTAAAGAATTATAAAGGTATAAATTTGCATTTAGATGATTTTTCCTCCTGATGAGGGGTTTGGTTTTAATGGGGGGGCGGTGAGGGAAGGTGTTGTACCATCGCCCTCCTGTCCAACCACTGCCTGCAGGTGACCCCCATGCGCTGGGATACCTCCACTGACCCATTCCCCCTTGAATGTCATCCCTATTGGTGACACCCACAGAGAGGGGATGAGGAGGGCAGGCTGCCTTCCTCTGCCACCCAGTGTTGCTGCAGTGATGCCGTGCGGGTGCTGCACCCCATGTGCTTCACTGGGGATGTAAGTCCGGGATGGGGACACACACACACACACAGAGTGGGACCAGGGCGGCGGTGGCCTTTGTCTGCCTGTGCCAAACAGATGTGAACAAACCCGAGTTCGATTTCCAAGACCGCCTGGGGAATATTGCAAACTAATTATAGCAAACAGAAGATGCTCTCCCCTCCTCTTGCAGTTTTTGATAAACATTGTCTCCTCTCCACAGCTGAGTATTTAATTAGTGTTGATTGTTGTTCGGGTGTTCAATAACCACTCATCAGGAGGGGGGTGTCCGCTGGGGCAGCGTGGCCTGGAGCACACAGGAGCCGAGGGTGTTCATAATTAAGGATGCAATTTATTTGAGTAAGTCATGTGTGCTGGGCCCTGTGTTTTAGGTTAATTTTCAAGGTTAAAGGGTAAAAGGAAAAACAGCTCATAACTTGGGAGGATGAGGAGGGAGGCTTGGAGCTCAACACTGTCACATAATCACAGAATGGGTTGGGTTGGAAGGGACCTTAAAGCTCATCCAGTTCCAAGCCCTTGCCGTATGGGGTTGGACTCTCCAGCTCTGGAAAGGTTTGGTACAAAGGGAAAAGCAGTGGGTGCTTTTTCTGGGTGCTGCTGGGCTGAAGGTCACCACCAGTTTAGGTTCATCAGACCACACCATGGTGTGTGGGATGTGTTCTTCAGCCTCCTGTTGGCCTCTTTGACCTAAGGAATAATGATGCTGTGTGTGCAGCCCACACCACGCTGGGCAGGGATTTGGCTTTGCTTCCCAAGCACTGTACGGATCACTCCTGTTTAGAGGAGGAGAACTAAAACCTTCAGCAGGAATAAGTGTGATTTTAAAGGCATGTATCAATGCTCTCTGGAGACATGGGATAAATTGGTACAAATGATCTCTCTTCTCATTTTCCAGTGACCATGCACCCATGTCACTGATTGCACCAGTATCAGGAGGGTGTCGGAGCATCTCTTCCAGAGGGACATGGAATTCCTTTTGCATGCTTTTAGGGATATCACTGTCATTGTGTACAAGTGGGCAGGACTCATCTGGGTGCCCCCCAGCACCAGTGGGCAGACATTGGGCACAACCCCTATCCTGCTTCTAGGATGGGTTTCTGTGCCAAATAGGGAAGCACCAGCTAAAAGAGTAAATAAACAAATGCCTGTCTCCTCCCTGCATGGTTTCCCCTTTATTCCTTTCTGTGTTGATCCTGCCGTGCTCCTGACAGGGTGATGGAGCTGTCATGCTTTGGTGGCCACCGGCTCGTGATCCGGCACCTTTCCCTGTGCTTTAATCTCTCCTCTCTGCTCATGTGGGGAGTCTGTACCTAACCCCCAGCCAAACAAAACGTGAAGAAAAATCAAACCCAATTACAGCCCATTGATTTCCTTCCAAATTTGCTTCTAATACACTTTTTGACTACTCCTTGATTTAATTCATTTATTTTCCCCCCTCCGTTTTCCTTTCTCCTCTCCTTCCCCATCCACTCGCGCAGCAGCAGCCTCCTCTGGGGAAGCGAGCGGCAGCATTCCCTGTGCTGGGTGTGCTGAGCTCCGGAGCACTTGGGAAATGCATAGACCGACGTGGGCTTTTTGGCTCTTAATAGGCAGTAGGGACGATCTCTGTGCTGAGCCTCTTCCTAAGGGACAGGTAGGAACATACCTTGCTTTTTCCCTTCCCTTCCTCCTCTTTGTAAGCCTGGCTGTTGTTCTCAGTGAGAGCATCGCTGTGGCAGGGGCTGTGGGCAGAGCTGCTGGGCACCAGGAGCTCCTACACCTTGCTGGGTGTCCAAGAGGGTGCCCCATGGGTTGTATCCAGCCCTGGTGGGCTGGGGTGGGCAATAGGGCTTGTGCTGGTCCCTGCCTCTGGCACTGATCAGTGTGAGCAGAGGTTTGGCTGTGGAGCAGCTCCTGCGTTGCCTGTATATGGATGGCTGTGTCCTGGTACTCAGCATCACTCTGGGGAGCCAGCGAGTGTGAGATCCCCATGGGACACGGTGGCTGGAATGCTGGCAATGCAGGGCAGACCCCATTCCAGCTCATCCCATCTCACCTTGCAGCTCCTTCTGCAGTCCTAGTGCATTGGGCCATCACTTTGGATTTGGTCCCTTGGAGTGGGGCTCGGTGTAGGGGCATAGCTGGGGTATGTTGGATATAGCGGGAGAGATGCTCTGTGTTCCGATGGGGCTTTGAATTGTGTGGTGATGGTGGGGAATGGCCCGTGGTCAGCATTCCCCAGGTGTTGCTCCCTCCAAGCTGCCATGGCATGCAGGGACACCAGGTTAGCAAACAGGCGTGTGACCAGATGCAGGGCACCCGAATGTAACCCCAGCCTTGGTGACACCTTTGCTGGGTGGCAGGGGAGGCTGGAGGTGCAGAGTCCTGCCAGGGAGCTGTGGGCAGTGAATGAAGGGTTAATGGTGGCTGGAGCTTTCTGTTGTACATCAATATATTGAATATCCTCCAATCTGGATCCGCGGGAATGGGGTGTGATCCATGTTGAGCAGCAGCCGTGCCTTGTCCTAAGGGTGCTGCAGGGCTGAGCGAGGCTGCCCTCGCTGTGGCAGCGGGATGGAGGGAGGTGAATCAGTGTCCTCACTTTTCCCTGGGCATAACCTGACCCACCATTCACAATGGGGCTCTTGAAGATGTTCTCAGCCATGAAAATGGAGACAAAAATCCCCAAAAGGCTGCCCCATCCCTTCCTTCTGCGGGGGATCCTAAGGCCGCATCCTGACCGCAGCCACCACTGCCACACCTGTGCATGACCCCAGTGCCATGGAGATGCAAACCCCCATCCATGGCATCCCTGGAGATACCCGCTTCCAAGAGCACAGCCAGATTTATAGCATAAGGAGATGTATTTAGGCCAAAGAGGGTTCAGTTGTGTTAATTATGAAAATCTAAAGATAATCTATATTTAATGTCAAATTTGTCTCAAATTTCCTAAGGAACGGGGAGAATAGATGCACATGATGACATTTAAATGAAGAGCAAGGTGCAATTAAGCTCCAAAATGTACAGTAGACTAATTGGGAGAGGATGACAAATATAGTTATCATCAGCAACTAATTAGGGACCTGCTTTAGTCTTCCCTGCTTGATTAATCTTGACTAGGTGCTAATAAGTTACTAGGGCCCCTAAGTTGAGAACAGGCTGTTTGTTGCTCCTCTGGTGTGGCAGGGTTATGTTTGTGCTGAAGCGGGATGTTCCTGTTAAAGGGGGTGGTTTTACTGAGGGGGGATCCTGGGTGAAGCCATGTGTTGGTGATGGAAATATCCCATTGTGGTCACTTAGGCATGGTCCCGTGGTGAGCTGAGCCTTGGAGCACGGAGGGAGGAGGATGAGGATGCCGGGCGCGCTGCCTCAGCTCTGGTGACACATCCCTTGTCTCCCAGATTTACACTCTTATCTTTTTGCATTGAAAGGTAAGAATAATAGTAAAATGTTAATGCTGTACTCTACATATAATACTGTACATAAACGGATGACATGACATGGGAGACAGATAAATCACCGCTGTGTTCAGACAATAATCTGCAGGAGACAGAATAACACATGAGTTCTCCGAGCAGAGGAATGTGCTTGGGAAAACAGGGCTTTACAGCCCAAATCCTGGCTGGCTTTTACTCGTGGCTTTATTAGAGTTTGATTTTAGGGAATTAGATGTACTTCTAAATATGCTGGTCCCTGCACTCAGCGCTACGGGAGCCTGGAAATGCTCTCACAGGTAAATGACTGGCTGTGACTTGGTCCTGTTAGGACATCAAATGCATTTGCTAGAGCTGGGCTAAAATGGGGAGAAAAATGTGTTCTGCCTGGAGAACATCTCAGGTCGCATCCCTGCCATGGAGTTCCTTGTGGGTTTGTGGTGTTCCCTAGGGAAGCTGCAGCCCCATAAAGCTCTGGCTCCCCTATGGGAAGGTGATGTGGGAAAATTCCCACAGCTTGGCTCTGCGTGGTTGGGATGGATGTGGTCCTTCAACCACCCCACACCCATCCTGGGCTGTAGCTGCGCTGGCAAACATGAACATCAAGTGCTGGTCCTGCTTGTGGAGCACCATTCCCACATGGAGAACATTTGGTGGGTGCCATCCCATGAGCCTTGGTGCTGAGCAGCTGGGAAGGGGATGATGCTTCCACCCTTTCAACAGGGCAAACTCCCCCTTGAAATTCCCATGGGATTTCTCCAGCGAGGAGACACCATTGCTGGCTCGAAGCCTGTTTGTTCCCAAGGAACAATCCCAAGCGGTGATGGCAGAGCAAAGCCATTACCGGCGAGGATGAACTTGGCTCAGTCTCCATGGCAACGCTGGCCGGGCCCCGGTGCTGCTCCATGCACACGAGTCCCGTTGACCTCACTTAGAATTATTACCTTTAGCCAAATAAAATAATTTGTGTTAATAAAGAGCCCGTTTCCTCTCGGCCTCCACAAGCCTTCCCCAGAAGGCAGAGTGACTCCTTAATTACACTTTTACTGCGGGGTGATTAATGCTCAATGTGTGATGCTCCGTTTAAATAAGTCGCTTATTAACACCTTTAATATGCTTTAATTTTCTCCCTTTCCCCCCTTTTCCCACCTCCCCTCGCCCAGGCTGGTGGTGGGAAGGGCTGCACAGCGCTAGGTGGAGCTCTGATGTTAGGGATGGGGGCCCAACCAGCACCTGTGGATAAGCCCTAGGGTCCTGTGGACCCCTGAAGGGCAAAGCGATGGGAAGCAAAAGGGGAACCCCAAGGATGAGGGTCTTGGGTGAAGGGCAGCCATGGGATGTTGCGGGGCCGGATACGGCCATGCTGGGTATGGGAATTCCCATCGTGGTCCAGCTCTGCCCATCTCCTCTGTGGCTGCTGGAGATGGTGCATTCCACCCATGAGAGATGCAGGTGGAGCAGGGCTGTCCTGAGGAACCTGCTGGGGAACAGCAGAGCACTGAGCAAATGGGGGCAAAAAACCCTTTTCTGGTCATTCCAAACAGGGTCTGTCTTTGGGATGGGTGATAGGCGCTGCTGTGGTCCCTCCATCTACCCAGACCAATGCCTGCATGGAGGTGGGTGAGGAACTCATCACTGGCACTCATCAGTGCTTTCCCTTTGGATACTTGGAGGCAGGATCCAGGCATTTGCTGCCGGTGGCACCCTTTGGGCAGGACCATGGGATGGTGAGAGAAGAGGGAAACGTTGAGGCCCTGCATGGCATTTTAAGGATCTCTTTTTCCTCCTGCTCACTGTGGAGTTGGTGCTTGGCTGGTGTTTCAGACAAGGCAGGTGTCTCTGTTGCTGTCTGAAATGGGTTGTTTCTTGTGATTGCAGCTCAATTTCTAAAGTTAAAAAGTCATTCTGGTTTATATCAGGTTTCTCTTTTAGAACTGTTTTTATTTGTGCAGCAACAGGTGTTTATAAATACACGTTGTTATTCGTCACATAAGAGAGTGTATTAACGGGAGCAGTAGATTCCAGATTGCTTCACCTTACTGTATGGGGGTTTATGAGGTGCCAAACCTCCTCTTCCCAAATCTCACGTGTGATAATTTGCTTACAACGGGGTGAAATGTGAGCCCCAGGGTGCAAACCAGGACATCCATCCATGTTGGCTCCCAACATGGGAACTCACTCAAGTAAATCAACATCTGGCATTGTTGTAGAGTTTGGATTTAACATCGATGGTTTCTCCCTTTGCAGCCCTATGTGAAGATGGAGAAGGTGGCAGGAGATGCTGGCAGACATGAATGCAATAGGGGAGCCAGGCCTGTTAAGCCAATCCCTGTGCAAAGGATGCCACGAGGGATGCAGCAAAGGATGCCATGAAGGATGCTGTGAGGGAAGTCACAAGGGATGCAGCAAACAATGCCATCATGGATGCAGCAAAGGATGCAATGGAGGATGCTGCAAGGGAGACAGCAAAGTATGTCATTAGGGATACTGCAAGGGATGCTGCCTCCACGAGGCCAGTGCTGCTCTCCTCCTGCTGCCAGCACAGGAGCTGAGCCCTGCTCTGGGCACCATGGCTCCTCGGGTGGCTTCACCCTCACCATGTTCAGGTCAGAGGTTCCCAGAGCTTTCCCCATCCCTGTGGGAGCAGGATCAGGCCCTGCATCCACACTGCATTGTGTTACTGTGTGATCTATGGTGTCCGTCAGCACCGAGAGCTCCCATGCACCTCTTTAAAGAACTCCATTTACTGCTACAATGAACACAGGCGGCTCAGCAGGGAGTGATGGAGCCAAGGGGGAGCCTCTTTATTTATACAGACAGCTAAAAAGGACAACCTCACAAGAGATGACATTTACCCAGCAGACAGGAGCTGCTTTCCCAGGTTGGGCTCTTCCTCCTTCACACCATCCATTTTGGATCTCGGAATTCCCAATGCCAGAGCTGGGGTGGAAGGGATGCTCCCACCAGTCCTGGTGTCAAACCCATCGATTCTGGGCTAAACTGTCCCCAAGTGCAGCTGATTCCCTCTCCCCACTGCCTTTTCCCTGGTTTCTTCTGGAAATGGGATTTATTATCCCTCTTATACAGTGGAATGCTGAAGGGAACTTGTTAAAGAGCTGTTGCTGCTGGGGGGGGTGGTGCTGAGACCCACTGCGGGGTTAAACAGAAGCAAATGATTCCTAAATGAACCTATCCCTTAATTCATCAGTGAGAGTTCTGGAGACAGCACTCAGGTGCTTCCCAGGCATCCCAGGTGGTGCTTTCCCTTGGGAACCTCAGTTCTCCCCCATCCAGGTGCCAGGTAAGGATGGCTGTAGATTATAAGTACCTGGAAAGCAGAGTTACCTCCTCGAGTTACTTCCTTTTCTGCCCTCAGCTTGAGGACTTCCAAAGGGCATTGGAGGCTTACTGTTGTCTCATCCCCTTGCTACTGATTCTGTTTTACTGGTTTCTCCTTCTCCTCTTCTTGGTTCAGGCTCGAGGGGACCCTGGGAATAATGTCTCATTAAATGATGCTAACAATTCTATTCATAGAAAATGCCTTGTGAAAGCCCATAAAACCTCTGGTGTTTCCCTGCTCTGTCTTTCTTCTGGGGTGGGAGATGTTTGTTGCTTCGGTTTTAGTTTCTCTTCCCCATTGAGTAGTTTGGAAAAGGGAGGAACTTTGCTTGGGTTTGATCTATGGAATCCCAAAGCTCTGGTTAAGGAGTAGCTGTTTGGCTGATGGAAATCAGTGCTAAATTAGGCATTTCCTTCATTGTTTCTGCTGTTCACCACCTCTCCCACAGAAAGGCACCAAACACCCCTCAGCCCCCTCCCCTGCACTTCACCATTTGGAGTTCATTAGCTCAGAGGGCTGAGCTGTGCATCAACCAGCATTTCTTAATAGTCATCTATTTCAGGACTAATTCCCATCAAAAATGAGCTTTTATTGCATTAAATAAAACTTCAGGTAATTCTGAGAATAATATTTCTCTAATGTTCAGGACCCGGGGAAAGTCTCCAGCCAAGTTGATGCTGTTTAATCAGCGTGAAGCTATAGATACAGTGGTGTGTGCAGGTTACTCCTACTTTCTCTTTACTTTCCAGCTTTGTGCCTTTAGTATCCCTTTGCTTGCAGATGGCTATTTTGCTCTGTCATTTCTGACCTAATGGCACTTGCTTTTGCTATGTTTCAGCTGATGAAGTTAAGCAGCAAATAAAGGGGGGTTCATCTTCATCGTGTGATGGCAAGGAGCTGGTGGTGCCCTGCGCTGAGGAGATGGGCAGTAACAGCAGGTACTGCCCCAGCCCTTTGGGGATGCATTTATGGAATCCCAGCCTGCTTTGGACTGGAAAGGACGTTAAAGCTCATCCAGTTCCAACCCCTGCCACGGGCAGGGACCCCTTCCACTGGAGCAGCTTGCTCCAAGCCCCTGTGTCCAACCTGGCCTTGAGCACTGCCAGGGATGGGGCAGCCACAGCTGTCCCAATGTGCTTTTTCCTCTGTACTTTCAAGCCTCCCCAGGGTTGAAAGCGTCTCTTCCCCTGTTCCATCACCAACCCCACCACATCCCAAACCCTACCTCTCCTCCTCCGAGGTGCCAGCACACAGTGAAGCCTGCAGGGACAGGCAGCACCTCCCCTGCACGTTAAAAAACTCCCTTAAAACTTAACAGTGGCCAGTAATGAACCAGCAAAGGTTTATTACCTATAAAGGATAAAATTAATGTAAGTTATCCTCATAAACGCTCCTGATTTGTGCTGGTCCTTCCTGTTCTCGCTGCGTGTCTCTGACAGCCTGCTCTGAACTGCTAATGGGGAGCTCTTAGGCCTTGCTGGAGCAGGTTAATTAGCAGGTACCAGCCTTGCTTTGGGTGCTGACAGAGCCCAGGATGCCGCTGTGGCCTCTTCATCCCATGGCAAAGCAGAGGCACCAATTCCAATGTTCTTTAAGAGGCTTCCTTACTAGGGCACAGTCTTTGGTTAGTAACAAGGTGTTTTTGCACTGTTGGTCCAGCCTTTGCTCCTGTTCCACCAACCAACTGCACTGGGAATAATTCCTCAATGGGGGAATCCCACTTCAGTTTTTCTCTAATACTGTAACTAAAACCAAAATGAGAAACTCAGCTAAAAAAGCACAGAAGACAAATGCATAGAGCCATGTAGCACATGCACCTGTGACTTACAGCCAGTGTGGTTTTATGGGGTTACTTATTTCCAGTTAATTGATGAGGTTTAAAGGGGGAGCTAAACTTTTAGCCAATATATAGGGGAAATGATATTAAATCCCCCTATTAAAGCTCATCATTAACCTGGTTGGGTTTTATTGGGGTAATGGTGAACACAACAGGCTGTGAATGGGGTGTTTAATTATTTCAATGAATATTCATCATGTACAGGACATTGAGAGTAAATAAAGGGAAGAAATTGCTCCACAGTGATTGGGAGGTTGATCAGCAAAGGGTTTGTCTTTAAATTGAGTGAGCACGAAGCAATACACCTGCACTGTAAACCCTCAGGTTTGCAGTTGCTACATACATATACATACATATATATATGCACACATATATGAAAGAAGTAAATATATCCCTTACTAAGCAACTTATTAGAGTTGTTTTCAATGGCAGATATTTAGGGAGTGGGTTAAATAAGACATCACACAGGGACAAAGTGGAGACCTGCCCAACTACTTCCTGCAAGAGGTACCAAAGCACTGATGGAAGTGCTTTGTCCCACATTGTGTATAAGGGCTCGTGTATGTTTAACTGGAAGATGGATGTCCTACAGACAATAGGATTGGATGCCATAAAGGGATGTGTGACTTGTGATTTAAAAGACTTGGTAACTTGTAGAGTGATGGTCTAAAATGACTTGATTTTATAGCTAGTTTCTGCCATCTGAGTGATGCTGCATGTATTGGTTGTATTTATAACTTAATAGCTTTTCTCAATTTTATTAGACTTTTTATGATACTTGTGGCTTTATGGTACTTCATAATTTCTCTCAGATTCATTAAATCCCATTGAGGGAGGAGCTAATGGCAGGTGATGCATTCCCAGTGCCATGGAGCAGTCCATAACCCCCCCAGCATCTCCATGGCCTCCTCTGGACTCGCTCCAACAGCTCCACATCCCTCTTGTGTTGGGGGCCTCAGAGCTGAAAGAAGCAGCATCTGCTTAGGGTTTGTATCATACCAAACCAGCCAGAACAGGAGGGATGCTGGACAGGAGTCCTGGGAGAGGAAGGATAATGTTTCTTGGGGTCATCAGTGTCCTTTAAAGGTGCCCTCCATCCATGGTGGGATTAGGGTAATTTTCCTCTTCTTGAACCAGTTAAACCAGTTATTTCCTCCCATAACCACGAGCCAGGAGGAGGGAAATCTTGCATTTAAAACCAAGGGGTGTTTCGGCAGCTTGGGCTTTGGTATTGACAAAATGTGGTGCTCAGTTCACTGTAACCTTTCTGCTTTGGTAGATTCCTTGTACCAAAGGCAACGTTTCTGTGGTTTAAGGGTGTTAAATGGTTTTGGTGTTAACGCGTCACCCTGCAGTTAAGCTGATGCCATCCCTTCCCAGTGTGTGATGGCATCTCACTACCATCACAGGGATGGCTTATATGGAAGAAACATCCCTGCAGCTTGTCAGCGTTGGCATTTCTGTGCTTGAAACTCACCCAAAATGAAACTGAGCTTAAGAAAACTTGGGCACGACCCAACAGTAATCCATAGTAACGTGATGATGGCTTCTTGGGTTGTTGCAGCTCTCCCGCAATGGGCTTTTCAGCCCTAAAATCATAGTCTCCAGGACAAAACCAGCAGCATCTCTTCTTTTATGGGCTTTTCCCCCCTTTCTTTCTAAGAAAACCAAGGGAACCAACCTCGGAAGCCCCCAAACATCCCCATTTTTAACCAAAAATGTCATTTTTGTTAGTACTGCAATAGAAACCAAGCTGCAGGGCCCCAAGGGCAAGTGCCACAAATTCCCCGTGCCCCAGCCCGGGCTGTAATTGTCTCTGAAACAGCTCTCATGGAGCAGAGATGCTTCTCTTTAGAGGCAAATCAGGTCCCTTTAATGTATTCCCTGTGGAGTGGGAGCCCCTGGGATTATTCCTTTTGTATCATTTAAAACAATTCCATTCCCAATCCCACTTCCTGGAACACAGAAGAAGGTGGGGTTGACTTCTCCAAGCAGCTCTGTGTCCCTGTGGATGGTTTGGGAGGGGGACAGTGGTCCCCATCACCTTGCTTTCCTTTGCCTCTTTACGATGCCTGGAGATAAGGCTCTGCCTGGCTTCATTACCAGCTCTTGCTCGGAGGGGCTGCAATGCATTTATAATTTTTATTGTTATATCTTTTAATTTTATTTTGCTTTCCTTGCTGTCTCGCACAGGGGGAGA